ATCGCGTCGCACTCGACCTACAAAATCGACACGGAGGTGAAGCGAGGAGATTCGAGCTGTGGTGTTGTGACCGCCTGTGCGCACCTCTACCACCGGCAGAGCGACCCGAAGGATTGGATGAGAACATCGAGCTAGCCGACGACTTCAGCGGTGGCCAGGTGGACATTCTTATAGGAACAGACCAGTACTACAAGGTCGTGCTGCGGGATTGCGTCGTTCTAGATGAATCCCTGAGAGCACTGGATACGATCTTCGGCTACGTGATCCACGGGAAGGGCACTTCAACAGGACAGTCCACTCGACATGTATACCACTGTCAACAAGTGGAACAGATGTGGGACCTCGATTCCATGGGTAAAACTCCGGACCCTGAGGCTCAAAAACTCCAACGAGAATCTGAGGGAAACTCGCAGGAAGAGTGCTACGGACCAGGATTAGAAGCTGAGATCCCGAGATCCGTCCATCCTCTTGGTGAAGACGTGGTCTTCCAAGTCTTCTGCGATGTAGCCAGCAAGACCTGTTGTGCCGTCGTACACGCTGCCCACGGTGGGGAGCCTCAGCTGGTGGCGACAGAAGCCAGACTGCCCCCTCTGACAACGGCCAGCAGTCAAAATCAGAGAATCGAGGAAGCAGAAGATCCGGTGAAGGAGTTGAAGAACAACAGCCCCTTCCAGGTCAAGAGTCAAGTACCCGACGTGCTCACAAAGGATGAAACGAGACCGTCACAGAGCTGTGCGAGTGCGGGGGCTGCCTCGACTCGCACAACTCGCACCAGAGGGCCATTCCTTCCGACGGACTGTTCCCATCGGAAACAAGCGATCAACATAACATCGTGGGTGCTGCGGCTCATCCATAGCCTGCGCCTTCGAAAGGAGCAGCGAGCTAACGGACCACCCAGACCCAAGAAGCAGCGCAACGCTTTGTATTGGTGCATCAAACTGGCTCAGCGGAGTGCGGAGGTTCTCCGACTCCCTAGTCCCAGTCTTCGTCCGAGTGTGGATGTTCTTCGACTTCTAAGTCACAGTTCCATCTGAGTGCGGAGGTTCTCCGACTCCAGCAAGCAATCCTACTATCCTGAGATTCGCAAGTAACTACTGTATTGTTGTGTCTTTCTCAGTCATCCATCACTCAAGTATCCTGCTTTCGTTCAACGTTTCCTGTGACAAACGCATCACAACTTACGTCATTTCCCGACGTCCCCTCAACTTGCAGTTTCCTGATTTGCCCAATGCCCAGAATCTTTCCATTAGCGAAAAGTCACTCATCGTCGCCACTTTGCCCATTTTCCTCAAAGCATCGAACGTTCCCAGATGTGTTACATTTTGCGTTTATTTACTCAATGTTTGTATCATTAGCAGGCCAACATGGAGACGATTATGCTTAGCGATGGCGGGGCCGGAGACTGGCTGGCGGACCGGACGGGACCGGACACAGTACACTGTACATGTCCGCGACACCCGATCTGCGCATGCTGCAGCCCGTTGCTCCGGACTGTCTCCGCGGGCGCCACTCGGCCGGATCCTGGCCTGTGCGCGCGTCGTCGCTGTGTGGACCAGCCTGGACTTTGAGCCGGGAGGCACTCGACGGCTGGCGTGTCATCATGGTGACATGCGACGGATACATGTGTTCAAGAAGAGAAGAAAAAAACCTTCGTTTTTTGGTGGGGAGTATGTGGAGTGTGGGCCCCGCGCGCAGTAAAACCGGCAGCTCTGGTGCGGCGGAGGCGTTCTCCCCTACCCTCCCCGTTGGGACCCGTCCGCGACCGTCCCGGCGTGATTTGGTGTGCCGCCGCGTGAGAAGTGTATTATATTTGTGTTGTTACTTGTTATTGATTGTTATTACGTCGCGTACCACGGGGCTGTGATGCTTGTGTGCCTTGTATCGCGTTGGTGGGCGCTCCGCCGGCCGCTGCCCGCGCTCGCTGTAGCGCCGGCCAATCGGAGGGCCGGGCCGGGCGGCTAGCCCCAGGCGCCGGCCGAACTGACCTGGGGTCGGGACTCGGAGCGGCAGTCAGTCGGCTCTCGATCTCTGCGCGGTACGTGCCCGTCCGGACACGTGCTCTCTGAGCTCGGGCGTCGCTCCGGCGATTTGAGGCCGTCCCAATAAGCTAATACTGGTGGTTCGCCCTTGTGGACGACCATTTTGATGCCAGTATTCCCCCTAAATCTAATACGTTTTGCATCTCTACGGAATATGGTTTCGGCCGTTCGGTCGAACCTGCTCGTAAAATTTCCTTAGCAATTTTCCCATAGTTATCCATTCGTAATCTGGCTTAGCTCCAGTTTAACTCCGGCCATAGCGCCGTTTCACATACAATCGCACACATCAGCGGGATGCGCTCATGTTCGACGGCTCGATGCGTCTGACTCGTTCTTGGATTCGTGTCTGTCTCTGCTGGCAAGTGTCTAACCAGCTCATGTCTTGTTCTTGATTTGTCTTGATTTTCGGCACGCATGAGTAAGACTTGTGCGGAGGTTCCTCCGACAAGGCTTTTGACAATACATTTAAGACGTGCCAAGAACAGCTTTGACCTGGCGGTCGCGGTGATCAGTCGGCTAGTCCATTCTCTCAAATGATACAGTCCACTTAAAGCTCTCCACACCCACTTCGACTGCACGTCCCCCGCCACAGTAGGGTACCAACTCGGGCCACTCTCTGTGGACAGCGGCAGGGCCGCTCCAAGTTTCGACGTGCAGGGCGACCTTTCAACATCAACACGGGGTAGCGGCCACGACACATGAATTTTTCAAAACTCAAACTTCGAATCGCCTGGACAAGTCGATTTTGTTTTGTGAAATCTCATTTTATGAGGATGCCACGTCACCCCTGGGCTTGGTGGTGTATACCCCGCCCGCTCCACCTACAAACCCCCTTATGATGAGTGATATGATGAGTGATGAGTGAGTGATAGTGCAGGGCTCGTCGGGCGCCGGCGGGGCGGGTTCCCTGTGGAGTCACTGTCGAGGTCTAACCGCATCCCTCCCTGGGCCGCGCCCGTCCCCGTCCCCGCCGAGTGTCGCGCGGCAGACACGAGCCGCTTCCTGCCTCCTCCTCCCGTCCCGGCCCGTCCGGAGGGGGGGGGGGGGTCTGACGGGCCGCACAAGGAAGCGGGCGGCCGATAACTCGACACGCTATGTCTCGTCCGTCGTCAGAGCGTCGATAGGGACAGGATCGACGGGGCACGAGCGGGACTGGGCGGGAGTGTCCCGCCTCACCGATTTCCGAGCACTCAGACCTATCAGCCCTCGACTTTGTCATTGGATCTTATCAGGTTTGAAACACGTGGCTGGAGGCGTTGCGTCACCGATATAGACCACGAGTTACACCACTGCACTGTGCAGTGTGCATAGAGCAAATATGCCCGAATTTCTAATGCAGGCTCGACAATGCCGCCGTGAACCGGAGGGTTCTAAACGATTTCCTTTGGAGGTGCGTTATTTTTACACGTATGTACAGTTTAATTTTAAATTCAGTGTGCTTTACTCGTTATAATCGCCGGTAACTTTGCGAAACTCAGTATAAGCGTAACTTTGGAAATACCCTCTTTTGCGTCTTTTGCGTCTATTCCCATGCTACGGCGCTATTAGATTTCCAAGACGAATTCAAATTCAGTTGTGATCGATATCGATATCGACTGCAGCTCATTTATTCGTTCGGAATGAATTTTCACACTTACCTAGAATTCCAAAGACTCGCTCGTCGCTACCGTTCCCATGTTTCGCCTGATGAGACCGTAGTAAATGCGGCATTCGCCCGCTACGTCGGCCAGTCTCGTATCGACCGTCGACCCGCTCAAAAACAGCGACTGAATTCCAGCCTGGCGGTCAGGGGGATCGTCGGCCGTCCACGGACAGGTGGGGGGGGGGGGCGACTGTCGACGCCGACTGTCGAGGCGTCGACAGCCGGCGGGCACGGACAGAGTTCTGCTCCTCCGGTGTATACGGCGGGATATTGGTCACACCGACGGTGTGGCAGTGGGTGCACCGGGCTTATGTTAGGCCTCGATGGGGCTTTTCACGAGCGCTTAGCGCGGATTTGACGAGTGCATGGAGGTTTGTAGGACTAGGTTGCTGGGGTGTATTTGAGCATTGTAATGTAGTCGCTACATGACAGTATGGATTCACGGTAACTATATACCTACTCCTGTTTATCGCCTGAGCGGTAGCCAATTTAAGCACCTACTATTTCATGCTTGGGAAATAGTTATAGTCGATTTATTACGTTATTTTTGCACTGAAATAACGAAAGTTACTCTGTCATCGTGACCAATTGTGAGTGAAGAATTATTGCCTTGCAGTGCGCTTTATTTACCATTGCGCATTTATCAATCCAAGGCACTAAGCGAGGTCCTGTCCTGGTCCAATGCCAACACTTGTTTTCCATCGCAGGGGTAGGAACGTGCTTTATTTTAATGACATTTTATTGATGTATTTGTTTTATTTTATTTTTTGTTTTGTTTTATCATTTTTTATGATTGATCGCTTTGATGTTTACAGAATAGCATTTCCTTCTTCTCGTTACCCTCGTCGTGCTTTTGAATGTTGATTCTTTATTCGACCATCTTTACCCTGACCAGTTTGATACTTACCTAATTAGACAGTCAGTGTCAATAGAAATGAGTCTTTTGTTTCTTTTCCTTCGTCGCGTAACCCTCGTCAGCCGTCGTCCGTTTGGATATAAATTATTTGCTCAACCATGTTCGTAGGGACCTGTTTGATCACAGCCCACTATACACAAATCACAATTGAACGGCATTGCAAATGGCCAAATGGGTATCGTGTTCGAGAGCCGCATATTTCTCATTTCAGAAAACAAATAGCTATCTCGAACCATTACGCTATTACATTGCGTACTATTACAATACGAGGCAAGTGCTTGAATTTGACGTGGAGTCGCTTGCTGGCTTTAGGCACTTGAAGTAATGTAGAAGTGTCGGCACTTCTGGTCGCGAATGTTATGCGCTGCTCACGTATGTGTAATGTTCTGTGTGTGTCGAGCAGCTGTTTGACTTTGAGCTGGAGTCGGCGCCGATCCTGGAGGTGCTGGTCGGCAAGACGGTGGAGCAGAGCCTGCTGGAGGTGATGGAGGAGGAGGAGCTGGAGACGCTCAAGGAGCACCAGCGCCGCTTCGAGGAGCGGCGCCAGGCAGAGCTGGCCGAACAGCAGCGGCTGGCCGAGCGCGAGCGACGCCATGTCGAGGAAAAGGTCAGTGGCCAGCGGTTGTCTGGCTGGCTGTCTGGGTGGCTGGCTGTCTGTCCGTCAATTAACTGGTGTGGAGGACTCGGGGAGAAGTACTTACATACACTGGTACACTATTAACACTGATTCCGGATGCGAAAAGTGTTTCTGCTTCGATTAATTGGCCGTGTGTACAAAGCGGATTATTCAGCAGACGTATGTGAATTTTTTTCTTGTTCTGGCGTTGCTTAATATTTTTTAGTTTAAAGCGTTAAGAACATCTGATAAATAAAGATTGTAAACTTAACTTTTTAAAAGAAAGAACTGCATTCATCAGACAGATGGCATTCATTTGCTTCAATTGTAAAATTTCAATAATCGCTCTGGTCATCACGCTCGACTCTGAAGGGTAACGGCTTCTGAGCTGGCTCGGTCGGTCGTGATTTTCGATAACTGGCGGCCAGGTATCGACTGGCCCCTGCCCGGGATCGGGCCGACCGTTACCCGACCGTGATAGGCCCGGTTATAGCTGCGGTCTCTGACTAATTCAGCCGACTCGATCGGCGGCGCACGCTGGCACCGACAATAGAGTCCCGGCCGGGCCCGCCGTGACCTTCTGGAATGTCGGAGCGGTCAGCGGCCGGTATATCGGGAACGGCTGACGGGCGTGGCCGGCCGGCCAGCCGATCAGCCTAGCCGCGTACCGGCCCGGCCGGCCTCGGTCTTCGAGCTCGTTACGCTAATGCCTGGCCTGCTCGTTAAGGACGTCTTTTGGGGAGATGCCGTCTTTTGCTTTGCCGGCTGCAAGGAATAATTATTGGTATGGTTCGAGTGGTTTCCAGTGGCTTACATACTCCGATGAAAAACTAAATGATGTTCCTAGAGTTCTCGGTAAATGAAATGTTGATCAATGTTGACGAATACTTCAGTAGGTACGCGTTCACCAGTCTTCGTGGCTAATACGCAAGTCTGCCGAATGATGTTTTTAATTGTTGAACGCAGACCATCCAGTACTCCTTTGCATAAACCCATTCAGACACGCGCTAAAAGGATAGCGTGGCCCGTGTAGTCAATTTCAAGGATAAGCAAGTGTAAGATGTGAGGCATTCGTACATAATAGATGAGACTTGAATGTCTTAGCGTGATCGCCTGACGGGCATCACTCGGCTTAGGGCCGGCGGCCGTTCTGTCAACACGGGGCTCACAGGCCGCAAAGGAATGACACGTCACCGTTATGCTGCCCCATGAAATCTGGCACTACATGTTTGATATCCGGAGAGAGACATTTTGTGTGCGTCGTACTGAATGTAGCGTGACCGGAGCATACTGTTCAAACAGTGGTTCGAAACGTTGTTCCCCTTCGCCGCTAGCGAGCGTCCCGGCCGAAGTAGCATTCTTATGTCGTGGATTGTCGTTCCCGTGTCTCAAAATACCTCACTAGGTACTGCTGGATGGCTGGACCGGAGGATCACCCACCCACGCGCTCTTTGCAGGAATACCTCTACGGTGGCATTTGCCAGCTATGTATGTCTGCTGACTGTTATATAAGGCGTTCAGTGTTTCCCATGCCGTGTGGCAGGATGGCTGGTAATGCCGTGTAGGTCTGGTTGGCGGGGTGGCTGCTAATCCCTTGTGGACCGTGTGGCTCGTCGCGGTTCCACCGCCTGCCGCCGGTACTGTCGGTAACGGTACGCCGCGCGCCGGCAGGAGCGGCGGATGTCGCAGCGCCGCTCGGCCCTGGAGCAGGAGACGGAGACGGAGGCCAAGGTGGCCGCCTCGGCGCTGGCGCAGAGCTACCTGGCCGACATGGTGCCGGCCGTGTTCAGCAACCTGCGCCAGAAGGGCTTCTTCTTCAACGGCGTCGAGCGCGACATAGAGATGACCTTTATGCCGTGGCTGCGGGACGCCGTCGAACAGGAGCTGGACAAGGTGCTCACCGGACGCGAGGTGCTCGACGGTGAGTGCGGGAGGCTCGGACCGGCGGCTCAGCGGCTCAGCGGCTCAGGCCGGATCGCCGGCCGGCCGGGGGGGGAGGGGGGATTAGTTCGGAGGGAGCCGGGATCGCGTGGACTTAATATCTATTGATAGGTCTTCAGACTTACGTGCTGGTCAGATAATGACCCTAAATTTGCAGTGACATTTTTCGGTATCTCGTGGTCATGTATTTTACAACAATTATGAAGGATACCTAACAAATTATAAGAGGAAGGGTATTTGAAATCCAGCTGCCTTATGACGCTATGCCTCCCTAGCAGCGCTAGCTGTCGTGCGGCCCTGCCGGCTGGGCTGACCGTGCCGTTCCCGTCCACCGCCGGCCGCAGAGCTGATTCTGGACGCGGTGCGCAAGCGGCGCGAGGAGCTGGAGCAGCGTCCGTCGCTGAGCGCGCGCCTGCCGCCGGCGCCGCTGGCCGAGCCGGCCGCCGAGCCGAGCGCGGCCGCCGCCGACGGCGACGGCCCGGTGTCGGCAGCGGCGTCGGCGGCGGGCGGCCCGGCCGGAGACGAGGCCGAGGACGACTCGGAGGAGGAGGAGGCCGACGACTCGGGAGAGGAGGAGGCCGCCGCCGACGAGGGCTCCGACGACGACGACGCCGGCAAGGGCGCCGAGGAGGGCGCGCCCGACGATGACGAGCCCTAGACCGGCCGCCGACACACACACGGTACGTGACCTCAAATATACACATATACAGGTCCGCTCAGACTACTGGCCTACAGTGGCGGCCCTAGATCGGCCGCCGACACACACACACGGTACGTGCTTTCGTTTACCTACAGATCCGTTGAGATTACTAGACACGGTAGGCCCATGTGCAAGTCCCACTTCCTATAGGTCCGGCGACACTTGGGACCACATCATTTGCAGTCGTATGCTACTGATCTTCCCGACTTAGTTTCTATAGCTTATCGGCCTGACATGAGCCGTTGCGCATTTAGCTTCGTCGATTTTTTTTTATTGGTTCGGACTTGCGTTCGTTATGTTCAGCTAGTTGAACACCAATAATAATGGGTTTGAGGTTTGCTTCGGGCAATGCTGCTGGTGGCATTTCCAATCTGTGTTCATGGACTGCCTGACCAGTATGTGCAATGTGCATGCAACAGTTTGCACTATGTAATTGTGTCTTAGTTTGGCTTGTAGTGATGACAGCACAATTCAGGATACCCAATGGCTGCTAGCAGTAACCGAACCAGTCCGGTTAGCGTAGTGTGTCCTAACGTCAGTCGCAGTATTGTAAATTGTCCCGCTACATATTTGGGTACCCGCCGGGCGGCGCATTCTGCCTCTCCCGTCGACCGCGACCGTCTCTCGGCCGCTATGCCTATCTGTCCTGTCGATCTCTGGCGTGTTCGGACGGGGCGCGCTGATTGGTCGGGAGGCGGAGCGGGGCCCGCGGCGGCGACCAACCAGCGGCCGCCCTGCTCTCAGGAGCAGCGCGCCGCTCCGGTCCGGTCCCGTGCGCTCGGGTCGCGGCCGTCCCTGCCGTCACTAACCGCCGCGCCGTCCTATGAGCCTCAATCTGCTCGCTGAGCTGACCTTAGATCACAGACCGTCTCAGTGCTGGTCGAACGACCCCCATCTCCGATACTGCTCGGTCTGGTAGCTGAGCTGACCTGAAGTCACAGATGAGCATCAGAGCCGATTGACCTGGAATACCGGTACCTACTGCTCAGGCCCTCGGGGCTTGGTTGGCTACAGATCAGGACTGCCTATCTGTTTAGAAGGGTTCGATGCTCATAGTTCAGAAACAAAATAGAGAACTGATAGCAGTGAGTTGCGGGGTAACAAATGCGTTAAAAAGATAAATAATAACAATAATGAACAAAAAGAGAGGGTAATTAATGATTTTTAACAGCGCGCCCTCGTTTCGACCAGTTGTAAGTACCTGCTTGGTCATTTGTTACCAATATCAAAACGGTGTTTTTTATTCAATAATTTGGTGCAGTCATAGAAATAGACTCCCGACATGCCTATTGCCTACCTATACGACATACAGGGTGTCCCATAAGTTCGTTCTCACCTAAATTTTACGTTTTTAGGCTCTCTTGCTTAAAGGCACGCTGAAATTGGTTCGTTACTGGGCTTACGTGGTTGCCACGGCTGGTAGAAATATGCTCCACAGTAACTAATTTCTGTAGACAAAATAGTTTTTGCTAGAGAGCCCGTTTCCTACACAGACGGCTAACGCCGCAACATAGAGGTCTCCAATACGGGTACGTCTCGGTATTTAGTCAGCACGTGACCATTCTCGACGATTGTGGATGATTGAGGCCTACCAGTCTGTAGACAATGTCCATCGCTAACTGGACGCACAGTCAGCAAGTGACACCGATGATTTGTCGAGAGTCAATCATTGCAAGTTTATCCTCTTTTTTTTTGTCAGCCCTCAGGAGTGGGCCATGTGGCCAAAACTGTGTGGCGCCAAAGTGGCCATCAAAAAGGTCAAAGGGTTAGAAAGTTGGTAAGCAGACTTTTCAGGATGGATTACCAGCTGTCTAAGAGTGTTCTTTCGGGGTACATGACTCAAGGTGACTTAACCCTATTCCTGGCGGGGGGGGGCCTCAGGAGCCCCCCCCCCCCTGAGGTTTTTTGGTTATTTCTCCCAAACGCGTTGAGCTAGGAAGCTCAAATTTTCTGACTTTTCCTAAAAGGCTTCTACGCAACATGTCTGAAAATTTTGAGTTGACCTGACCTCAGGTCAGGTCACCAGAGGCGGTTTGGTGACCCTACCTCAGAAAAGTTTGCAATCACGCCAGAGCTAGAGTTTTTGACCGATCAATTTCTTCCCTTCAGGCTTTAGTTAGGGTACCAGTATGTGCAATTTGTATATCTCGGAATTTTGATATCGGTGACCTAAGGTCAGGTCAGTTTCGTGACCTCCCCATTATAAGTCAATGGGGGAAAAATCAACTCCCTGTTTTTACCACTAAAATGGGTCGGAATGGCCCCATATACCATACATGACTTCATATACGATCAACCTTCACTACCTTGAGGTCTGTTTTGCTGTTGGGCAGCTGTGAGGTCATGTGACGTCATCAAAGGTCACCAAAGGTTTTTGGCCAATAACTCCGTACAGGAACAAGATACAGACGCGTGGATGGTCTCATTGTGTTCAGCTCGTCAAGACGCATCGAATGATATACATGATGACCTCGAGGTCACGTGACCTGAGGTCAACCTTTGACCTTGACCTTGCGAGGTCAACATATATATCATTCGATGCGAATTGACGAGAGGATCACGATGATGCCCTTAGTTTGTTCCTATCTTGACTAATTCGAAAGTTATTCGAGAAAAACTCTCTCCATATCTAGCGCCGCCATTTTGACTTTTTCGACCCCTGTGACGTCATCTTTGACCTGACCTGAAAATGACCTTTGCAAAAATTGTAGATCTTGACCGTGCGTATCCGATGCCGTTTACCGTTTGTCGCTATCTTGCTTCGTTCTCGAGATCTCAGGGGGGGGGGCCGAATCGGCCCCCCCCCCCGCCAGTTTCTTGTCCCGGCGGAGCCCGCCAGGAATAGGGTTAAGCTTTGCTTACCGGAGGGCTCGAAACAGTCAAAAACGTCTTAGAATGGCCAAACATGAGTTTCGTTATGCCTGAGGCTAAAAAAAAAACTAAAGGGTTGAGGACATCAACCAGGTCATCTGGACTAACTAGTCCACGTTCGAGATGAAACACCTGTCCAAACCCGAAAACAACCCCATGAGGGCGAAGGAGGAGGCCTCCGTTTCGTCCCGTTATGTTCCCATGCGAAAGGCCAAGGTCACGGTATTGTGGAGTTATAGGCGTCTAGACGCTGACCAGGTTGCGATTGGTGTCCCAGAAACAGCTTTGGGAAGCATAATGCTTTTCCAAGAACATCTAGGAGGAGTTTCAACCCTCAAGCTGAACTCGAACCGCGAGTATGAACACATTTATAGAGGAGAAAATGGCATCTGAGAGGTCGTAGGCCCATCTTCAGGCAAGACAGTGCATCAGTGCACAGGTCAAGCAAAGCTTAAAAGCGGTGCAAGGAGACTGTGGAAGGCGTTTGTGGCAAGACGACATGCCAGGCACCTCATCGGATCAAAATTTCATAAAAATTTGTTGGTTATGCTGAAAATTAGGCTCGTCGAAGCGTAGCGCTGTTCTAGCCTGGAGGAGCTCACAACGCATGTCAAGTCAGTCTGGATTAACTTTAAGCCTGCTATGCAGCCAAACATGCCGGTTGGCATGCCGCAGCATGTGTTCATGTGTTTGCCTATTAAATGGGGAGCACATTGAGGGAACACAAATATATCAAGACGCAATGTACTCTGTTTCACATGCAAATATAATGTGAGAACGAACTTATGGGACACCCTGTATAGGTAACGGTGGTAGTAGGTATATCTGCAGAACAAAAGCATGTCCCTTTGAAATTTGAATACTCCATGCTGCCGCTTATTTTGTTGTTCCGCACCATTCGTTACTCAGTCGTTTGTTTACCGTCGTGCATGTTTCATGGTTCCCTGCTACAATTGCACTAGCAGCGCCTATACTAACACCTCACGGCGACAGGGTTGTACTGTACCTATATCTAAAAAGTATGTCCCCTGGTTTGGCTATCCCACAGGAGGCGAATCGGTAACTTGGCTGAATCCCAGTTGCGGCAGCCGGCCGCCAGGGTCGCTGCCGCGCGAGCGGCCTTGACCGCTCGCATGTCATTGGCAGTTTGGTCCCTCCCCATCTATACCGAGGTGGGGAGGGGAGAAGAGGGGAAGAGAGGGGAGGGAGCGGCATCCGCTCGGCACTGGGCGATACCTGGCTGACCCCGCGCTCCCTTGCTGACCTTTGTCCTGCCCTCAGGCGAAGACCGACTTCCTGGCCTGTAGCGGCCCAGCGGAAAACCGAGCTCGCGGGGCGCGACTCCATTGGCCCAATCTTATAAATGGAATGCTGTCGTATTCACCGCATTAGATAATATTAATAGTGATACCAGCAGTGGATGTGGTAAAATACAGTCCAAAACAAACGAAAGCACACGATTCGTGCATAATGTGCCCTCCCATTCAAATCAGCCCGCCCACTTCGATAAATGGTGTAGTTTCTTAGGGCGTAAAAGATGCAAAACACTACCGATTTTTTTTTTTTTTTAGCTCGGCCACTGGGACCGACAATATAGGGGAAGGTGGGGTAAGACGGACCAGCTAAGGTTTGAGGCCGCATATCTTGCTACACTGCTCTCGTAATTCATATTATTTATAGTCTTCGGAATGCTCAATCCTTCCTCTGTTGATATGTGTAAAGACTAAATTTCAAATTAAAGACATCTAGGTGGTGGATGCTCTTAAAGAGGGACATGTCAAAAACTCAGACAAGAAAAAACGTGGGGTAAGACGGACCACCCAGCAGTGCCTGCTATCCGTTCATGTGTGTTACACTTCTGCTCTGTACTCTTGTAAGAAAAAGTAACCAGAATGGTAAAATAACAAAATGAGCCTTTATTCTTTACTCATGTGTGATGGAAGTGCAGCTAAAAGCTGGGAACATGTGTGTTGATTGTCGTTTGGCATGAATGCATGCTAACTGAGCACTTGCATGCATGGCTCACATGCAACAAAGACTCCTTCCTGAAAAATTAGCTTACTTAAACTTGTGTCAATGTTTTGGAAAAGAACTTTCCATATGCAGGGT